TAAGAAGTATAGACTACTTTATTTGACATTCATACTGATTTATTTTTTGGCCTCAGCATTTGTGAGTTTAACTTTCTCTCAAATCTTATGAATAAATCCAAATTCTCACATCATTCCTTGTAATTCAGTATATTTCTTTTATTTAAAATGGCTCAAGATATATTTTAATATTCAAGAGTACATATACATTTTTATTCAAGACTTAAGTCACTGACTAGCTTTTTCTTCATTGATCTATGATTCTAGAATCTATGATTCTTTCTTAATCATAGATTATATTTTTGAATGGCAGTCTTTTTTTAACCTTACTCATGTGTTTTAATTTCCATAGCTAGACTTGTAAGCGTAACAGATATGATCAGCTATTATTTATTCATTTCTTCCTTTATACCACCTACTATAATGTTAAGCTCATAAAAAGGCATGCATTCATGATACTGAATACAATAATGAAAATCATTCATTTAAATAAACACTTAACACTAATATAATGATAACATATATATTTAGCAATTTAGTGGTTGCTTTGAAGGCACAGAAATAAAACAAACATGAAAGTTGCTTTAGGAATAGCTTTGAATATAATTTTAAAAAATATTAAAAAAGAACATGAGAAACAAAAAAGCTATTATAAAAATAGGTTAACACTATCATGTGTAAACTTGATACATCATTGCTATTGACATAAGATATAAAAATCAAGGCTTAAATAGATAAATGTTAGGTACAGCTGACTAGGTATTTGGAGATCTAAGGATAAAATAAAAAGGATGAAAGAAAATAAAAAGAAACATTATGGTAGAACATATGGAATGAAAATAATTTTCAATGATAGAGCTATAAAATTAGGTTTAATGCAAAGGAGAAAGACAACATTTTCAAATTTAAAAATTTTGGTAACATCAATAGTCCAATTAAATAAAATGGTCTATCTACAAATTGAACACTAATCAGTGATCAACAGTGATGAAGGTTTTTAAACCTAAAAAATGATTATAATATACTCTTCAGTGATAGAAACACCATGCACGTAGTATTTAAATAACAGAATGTAGAAGTAAACGTCCTTTTCTTATGACCTATATTGCTGCCCCTGAAAGTTCACTGATATATGAGATTTTTGAGCTTCCTTAAGAAATGACTGTTTTATTAATGATCTTCACGGAACTTGCTCATGAGAAGGAAAAGGAAGTGAAAACAAATACTTAGACTGAAAAGCAGTGTTAATATGATGTTAACAGGATGTAGAAGATGTATGGTTTCAACTTATCATGATTCATAGTATTCATATTTAGTTGATTTTTCTGACTATAATGTGATGACTAAATTATCACAGTGAGCAGACTTGGTGACAGTTCTATAATCCCAACCCTGAAGTGCTGACAGAGGAGGCTCCTCACAAGTTCACAGCTGGCCTACCTGCATAAGAAGATACTGGTTAAAAAAAAGCATTCCAAAAACAAAAACTAGAGAAATGAAAAACAAAAATCAAATGAATCACTGTGGATTATGCTGAATTATTCATGTTAATTCATTGTCTTTGGTACTGTTCAGAATCTTCTCTCTTCTCTCCTCTGCCCTCCTTTCCTCTCTTCTCATTTCCTCTCCTCTCCCCACCTCTTCCCCTCTCTATTTCTTCATGTATACAAATGCAAACATACATATACCTATACATACAGCCAAGGATGAGTTGAAATTCATTACGTAGCTCATGGTAACCTTGAGTATAATGCACATGCTTTGGCCTTCAAAATAGTAGGATTCCATCAGAATTATACTATTTTTTTTCCTTATAAGCTGATACTACCATAGTTTAGCATGCTAGCTATCATGAACTAACCTTCATAATCCTGGTTACTACTGACATATTGATATGATTGTAGCTACGTGTCTCCATGGAAGGAAGCACACAGTGTGTCTACATGAATGATCATGCATGTGGCAACACCTGGCTGTTTGTTAGCAAGAAAATGACTATTTGATGTGAGAGAATATTATTTTCTGTTTTCTTTAAAATTTTAACAAAAATTACACTATGATAATAGTATCCTAGATGGAATTCTTCCAAAATGCTGTGCATGTACAGACCTTCCCTACTTATTGGCAGAAGTGAATAAGAATTGATGGTGCCAAAGATCTGCTAGGGGAAAAGTACTACCTCTTCAACTCTCAAAGTCTACCATCTCTGGGAACTCAATTAATGACTTCTAATACCTCTCTAAGAAAAATCCATCACTGGCAACTCCAACCTTTCCAATTTCACTTTACAAACACCTGACCATGTAACCTTTGGATTCCTGCTTCTTTCATTACTCTCTGACATACAACACCTCTTTAATCACCTACTTCTTGAAACCCTGTGCTCCCCTCCTCACATCCTTAACAATGTACAGCTCCTGCTTCACTATCTCCCCTACCTACCTACTTGAAAATGGTTTCATCCACTTGCATAATACTGTTACCTCCACTTTTGAAGCACTGTACCCCTTAAAACATCCTGCTAGAAATCCTTGATCACACTGCCTCCAGAATACCCTAAACACCCTCCTGTGGAAATTCCTCCTCTCAAAATTCCCACTTCCTCTAACCCCTGGATATCTCCTCATATTATTAATTTTCCATCTCAAGAAATATTTGCTCTCCTAGACATCTGTCCTCCAGAATGTCACACACACACACACCTTATAAACCTGTACTTCTGGGAAGAATCTTCTGCTCAATCCTTCAGGTCATACATTTTGTAGCACACATGATTCTGAAATCCCTGCCCCCACATAGGGAGCATTCCTTCTACTCTTGTAACTCTTCACCTCACCATGGGTATCTCTATTATCCTTGGGTATCTGAGCTCTTTAAACACTTGAATTTCTCCAGTATGTGGAATTTTGGTTCACACTGCTCTACCCCACCTTCTACTCTTTTATGATATCCGATAAAATGATATGATATACCTCTTATGAAATTACCAAGTCTTACTACTGCCACTAAAACTGAAAAGAAACATTCTTTGTTTGTTTGTTACTAACAGGGTCTCCTTGTGTTTCCACCTCACAAGTTAAACATTCCTCCTGGTTCAGCTTCCTTGGTGGCTAAGACTACAGGAAAAGAATAACATAAAAATCAGCTTTTCCCAAGGTCTCTATTACAGTCTCTAAAGCTTATGTGGTATAAATAAATCATGTTGAGCTTCCTTAAATAAATATATCTTTCTATATTGAGTATATATGTGAAAGACAGTCCAGGATTGGGGAAAATAGAAGAGGGAACTATAACTTTCAGGCTTATAAGCATGCAGAGTCTGTTTCATTATGTATACTTTGTTTTGTTTTAGTTTTTTTTTTAAATATGATTTCAACATAGTGTCCTTGCTGTCTGGAACTCTCAGTATAACATAGGTGGGCGGAGAACTAGTTATGGGAATGAAGCTGCCATCAAGTGGGTAATCTTCCTGTTTCCACACTGTGCTCTTGGATTACTGATTTCTGTTATCATGCAGAACTCTAAGATCTATAGTGTCCCACAGGACTCTACAACAGGTGTTCAGTGAACATTATTTGAAAAGTAGATTTATTTTCAAAGCCATTGTTCGGTATTAGGCTTTTTTTCCATTACTGACAAGTTACTGAGACCCCTAAGGGGCATCATTTTATATTGTAAATAGTTTGTCATATATATCATTACAATTGGAATTTGTGGCTTTAAAACTAAAATACATTTTAAATGCTTGAAAATAGTAATCACAATACTTTTATATGCTACCTAGTTATAATTTTCTTTAAATATCATATTTTTCAAATGAAAATAGTGCCAAGAAAATAAGACTTTATGTTTTCAATTTTTTAATGCACAACTTAATACTTTTTATATGCCCTTCTACATTTAGTTTTTTGTAAGGTATATTTTAGGCAGAAAAGAATCTTAAAGATACATATATACTTCAACCACATTTTGAGGTTCATTCTTAGATGTGTTATTATTACTAGAAATCTTTATGTTAATAAATTATATGTACATTAAAACTTAGGAACAATATGGAAAATAGAAAATTAATTTACTCCATAAATTAAAGTTTATATCAACTCCTCAAATACTCAATAGAAAAGAGAGACAGAATAAATATTCTGGAGGTAGTGTTAGTGTGGACCACTGCATTCTACTCATGATATGGCAGGACATTCTCAAATTCTCAGCAGTTGACTATACATGAGAAGAAAAAGTTTGTGCCTTTTGACATTCTATCCAGAAGGGGAGGGGCTCAAGAGGCCCATCCCCTGAGAACTTGTAGGAAGTTAACAGTTGCTAGGAGAAAATGAAAATTTTTCTGTAGTAGTGTATATCATGGTAAGTTATCCATTCTATAAATGACCCTTAAACCACACTCCTTTAAATAACCCTTAATAAACTGTCTGGGTAACAAAACCAAAATGGCTTGAATATAGAAGGGAAGTATTTGAGAAATGGAAGGAAAAGAGAGAGAGTAGAAGGGGGCAAGAGTGTGCAATGGAATATGAATTTTGATTGTATTCATAATCAAAATACATAAAATGATTTCATGAAAATATAATAATGAAAACCCATTATTATCCATAACTATTTTATGTTAATTAAAACTATTATAATAGCTATAATATTTTATTAGTTTCTTAATTTTAAAACACTAAAAATTTAATATACACAATTATGTGATTGATGATGGAGTTTTATGAGGCCAGGGGAAGCTAAACAAGTATGGGTAAAAAACATGAAAGTGGAAAGTAATTTCTATTGCTTTTCTCATAGAACATACACAATTGAATAAATGACTAATACTGAGAAAATACTTATCCACGTTATTCAGCGGTTTTAGCTGAATAAAAGAATGTTTCTTTTTCCCTTCATTAATTTTAGTTGCAATTTTTGTTATTTTAAGTTTTCTTTCTATAACTTAGATCTTATTAACAAATTACCAGAAGGATTTTAACAAACTATCTCATTTCTTTCATGTATGTTAAATGGGAAAGAACCTGAAAAAGAATTTAAAAGGAGTAATCTGGAGAGGTGAAAGAAGTGTGAACAATCCAGATTCCAAGTTAGGTAAGTAAATGAATAAGAGGGAATGATGTGCTTTTATTTGGTGCTGATAATGAAGCAAAGAAGAATAATAGTGATCAAGTCATTGCTAAAATGAACAGCTGAAGTTGCTCCTCATACTGGGTTGCCTTGTGCAGCCTTGAAAATCAGGTAGGTACTTAGTTTTACTCCAAATTGATATGCCATTTTTTGTTGATGCTCATCAGAAACCTTCCGTTTCCTAAACATAAAAAAAAAAATGAGGAGTATATTGAGGGCTGGGAGCAGAGAGGTGATAGGAAAGAGACTTGGAGGAAGACAGGGAGGGGAAACAGAAGTAAGGATGTAAAAAGAGGAATAAATGAATAAACTAACAAGTGAATGAAATTCAACAACAAAAGAAAACATAATCTTGTTAAGGAAAATAAGAATATTTACACTACTTCTCAATGTTAAATGTTGTGAGTATTAAAATAAAATGTATAGCCGGGCGGTGGTTGCGCACACCTTTAATCCCAGCACTCAGGAAGAAGAGGCAGGCAGATCTCTGTGAGTTCGAGGCCAGCCTGGTCTAGAAGAGCTAGTTCCAGAACAGGAACCAAAAAAAGCTACAGAGAAACCCTGTCACGAAAATGAAAAAAAAAAAACCAATAAAATAAAATGTATAAAATTCTATCAAAGTATATCTATGAGGCCTGGCAGTTTTCAGGGTTATAAAAAGACTTCTCTAAAGTCATGATTGTGGAAGGAAACACTATGTGCAAAGGCCCAGGATAGAAAGAATGTGGTATATCTGAAATATTGATGAAAGACTATTTAGTTGAAATTTTTGGCATAGATTGTTTGCTGTGAGCCATAAAGGTCTTTGATTATAGGTATTGTGATCATGAAAAGAGAACCAGCCAAAACTGAAAAGTAATAAGTTATATCTTAGTTGCTGTCAGGCCAAGGACATCTTAGAAACTCTATATGGAGTTAAGCAAAGGGATTGAAATAGAGGATCACAATTGGCCCTTATGCAATAGTATTATATTTTTATCTAATTTAATTTGCTGCTGTAAATTTATAATATCCATATGAAAGTGAGCATCAATTAACTGTCTCGTGCTGCACACTTCAGCTGATTTTTCTATGGCCATGTTTAAGGCATTGGCCATGGTTCCTGTTTGAATAAGAGGTCGTAGCTACTGCAAGCAAGATCACTGCAGTGTTTTCTGTAGTTATTTCAAAGTCTCTCTTTATTCTAGTGGGACTCATAAGCTCTGTCTTATAATAACAGATAACTTTGGCAATAGGCATCCATAAGAATGCAAGGAATACATACCAAGACTGCATGAGAAGCTTCTTTAGGATTCCAATGGGCATCCAGCATGCAGTGGCTTGTGCAGTTTACATTTGATGTACTAGCATTGGTTAGTAAAAGGTAGAAGGGGTTTTTGACATAGATGGGCATCTGTTGAAAGTAAAATTTGTTTTTGGTATTGTTTGGATTGAGTCCTCAAATGATTTATTGCCCTTAATGGTTCCATTATGATAATTGCCTCCTCAAAAAAAAAAAAAAGGAGGTGTTTAAATCTATGCACGCATCATTTCCACAGAGGGACCAATTGCCAAACATGGGATTATTGACCTGAGCAGGATTTCTATAGGGGTGGGTGGGTAAGGGATCCCTCCATCTTACAAGTGGGAGTGGAGTTTCCCTAGGGAGGGAAGCCCAGTGTTTATAAACAGGGTTAAGGCCCTTTTCATCAGAGGCCAAGAAATTTTGCTTTTGAAGACAGCCTCCACCAAGGCTTGGTGAGGATCCTTTTTTTTATTTTTTGAGGAGATTTTGTCCATTTATCCTTTTAAGGAGGTCTTTATTCTTTCCATATAGCCGGACCTTGGGGATTATATGTAATACCTGTTGATTGTTTGATTTTGAAGTTCTGTAAGAAGTCCATAAAGCTTTGAGAGGTATAAACTGAACCATTGTCAGTTTTTATTGCCCAGGGTACCCCCATAACCAACATGGCTTTCTTTGGTGCCTTGATAGCTTGTATAGCCTTCTCCTCTGTTTGGGCCAAAGCATAAAGAAAAGAGGAATGGGTGTCAAAAATTACATGTTATATTTAAGCTTGTCAAATGGGGGCATAATGAGTGACATATATCTGCCAAAGTGCATTGGTGTAGAAGGAGCAGTGGGCTGCGTTCCTGCCACCCGGCTTCCGGCTGCCTGGCTAGCTTAGCCCCCAAAATAACAACACACAAATTGTATTATTTTAAACACTGCCTGGCCCATTAGTTTCAGTTTCTTATTGGCTAATTCTCACATATTGCTTTAACCCATATTTAGTAATCTGTGTAGCACCACGAGCTGATGGCTTACCGGGAAAGATTCAGCATGTCTGACCTGGCGGTTGGCTCCATTGCGTCTGACCTCACTTCCTTCTACCCAGCATACTGTTCTGTTTACTCTGCCTACCAAATTTTCTGTCCTATCAAAGGGCCAAGGCAGTTTCTTTATTAACCAATAAAATAACACATAGAAAGAAAACCCACCTACATCACATTGGGAACCAATCTTCTATGCTTTACGCTTGCCTTATTCAAAAGTTCCAACAGGGTCAATGGGGTACATGTGGTACAAGTTCTAGTTAAATGTTTACAACTGGGCAAGGGTAAATCAGGTAAAAGCTTCCCCTCTGGGGAAGGGGCACCATTCATAATGGGCCACAGGAGTAGCTTGTGAGGAGGGGCAGCAAAGATGAAAGAGGCCAGAAGACACAGGGTGAGTGGCAACAACTGCATCTTGGTCCCTACACTCAGATCCAGATTCAAGCTAGTGGAAGTAGTCATTTGAATGTTCAGATCCCAAAAGGGAAAGGGGATTCAATCACAGTCAAACTGCCAAAGTCCTTCTGTGAATCAAGAGACCAGTCACTGTCCTAATGGTTCTTTAATAGGTGGTCATGTAACTGGATCACTTGAGAATAGAGACTAGGAGAGGAAGTCCAACAGTGTATACTTTGAGGAGTGGTTGGCCATTGGAGGAGGACTGCTTGTTCATCCCAGCCACCCAGAACCAAAATAATCACATAGAAACTATGAAATTAAAATCACTGCTTGGCCCATTAGCTCTAACTTTTTATTGGCTAAATCTATATCTTAATTAACCCATCTCCATTAATCTTTGTGTCACCAGAGTTTGTGGCCTACCAGAAAAGATTCAGTGTATCTGTCTCTGGCAGCAGCTTCATGGCTTCTCTCTGACTTTGCCCTTCTTTTTCCCAGCATTCAGTTTAGTTTTCCCTGCCTACCTAAGTTCTGCCCTATCAACAGGCCATGGCAATTTCTTTATTCATTAACCAATAAAAGCAGCACATATACAGAAGGACCTCCCATACCAGTTGGGACTACCCTTAAGGCAAGAGAGCCTTCAGAAAATCCCAGAGAGAGTACCCAGGCAAAAATAATCAGCTGTTGTCATGCTTTGAGGGAGCCCATATAAGGACTATCACAGAAGGGAAGGGGAGAGTAATGTTCTCAGACTAAGTGTGTTGCTTATAGTGAGGGATTTCTGCAGTTTGTTGGGCCACAGACATATGCTCAGACAGTGTCTGCAGGTGTAAAGGACCTGTTCAGAAGCTACTTTATTGGTTATACCTCCTGGGTGGTCAGCCCTTATGTAGGATTACCATGATGAACAAAGTCACAATTCAGAGTTCCTAATCAGAGAGATAAACGGGAGCAAAAGAAAATGTAGGGACAGAAAAAAATAAAAGCCCCAACTAACCGAGAGCTTAGAAACAAAACTAGGGGTCAGCATTGAGCATTATAATGTAATTACATCAATCCCCTCTTCCCTCTCCTTCCTTGAAACCTTCCCATGCACTCCCCCTTACTCTCTCTCAAATTCACGGTGGTGGCACATGCCTTTAATCTCAGCACTTGGGAGGCAGAGGCAGGCAGATCTCTGGGAGTTCGAGGCCAGCCTGGTCTACAAGAGCTAGTTCCGGGACAGGCACCAGGCACCAGGCACCAGGCACCAAAGCTACAGAGAAACCCTGTCTCGAAAAACCAAAATAAATAAATAAATAAATTAATTAATTAATTAATTAATTAATTCATGGTTTCTTATTTTTTAACTATTATTACCCATACACACACATAACATATTATATATACATTTAGGGTTATATAATATAGCATGACGTAATACTTATATATGTCTGTGTGTGTGTGTATATATATATTCCTAAATGTATAAACACAACATTCTCATTATGAATATTGCCTCTCATATGTATATATTTTCAGGACTTACCCTTTGATATTGAATAATTAGTTGGTGAGCTCTTTACAGGGAAAGACTATTTCTTTACTTCTCAGCATTCCTTAATTGCTTGCAGTCCCTTGTTTTGTTTTGGGGCCTCATGGGATTGCCCCAACTTACTTTAAAATATCTATTATTATTGTCCTTCTTCAACTTTTATTTAGGAAGTCATGTTAGTGAGAATTTATGGGCATAGCTTATGGCATTCCTAGGAGACACAGACTCACAGACTGATTCTTTGGCTCCTATAATTTTTCTGTCGTCTCTTCAACAATGATACTGGAGCCTATGTATAGGAACTGTGTTGTAGATATATAGTTGGCACTGGGATTTACAACTATATATTTTGGTTGGTTGTGGTTTTCTGTACTTTATATGTGAGTAAAATGACACATATTTAGAACATATTTCAGATTATGCTGATTTCACAAAGTGACAGTGTTAGGTTCTTCTCCAAGATCAATGACCAATAGTCCTGGGTAATTGGCTAGGTTTCCAGTACTGAACATAATTTCCCTCTTTTTGAGCACTTTTAAATTCCAATTAGAGAACTGTAGACTACCCAGAAGGTATGTGTGCCATTACTATAACTTTAATGTTATTATGCAATGCCACTTTTGGTATCATAGTTGGGTAGGAAGAACTGTTTATTGCTTCCCTCCTTTATAAACCTTCAGGGAGTGTTCTCTTACTATGAAATCGAGTATTTATATTTTCCTTTTTCTGACAAGTTCTCATGAAATACCAGCATAGACTTGAACTCCCAGTATAATGCAGACTTCTCTAAAACTCTTAAATTGCCATGTCTCCACCTCTCATATACTAGAATTATAGGTGTGTACCATGTCTGTTGCTTTTCTGTATTTTTTTCCAATGTTATGCCCTATCTTACCTACTTTTATAAAGCTAGTTATGTTTCATTTTCTCTAAATTATGTTTTTTCAAAAGTTTTCCACTTGTGATTCTTTTTTTTACATTTACAGTTGTTTTACATGACCTGATATAGCTGTATAAAGTAGATATATAAAGGAAACATTTACTAACCATGAATCATAAGGAAATTATACTTAAAAAGCTTTTATATGTATATATTTTTTATCTATTCAGTTGAAAGGAAATCTATTTATTAATGAGATATGTCTGTTTATTTTTGCAGGAAAAGCAGTATGTTATCTGACTGTTTAATATTAGGACATAGAATGTAATTGACATTTTTCAGTGTTCATTGGTATTTTGATATTATATTTATCAATGCAGAAAATGGATTCCACAGTAGAAATATATTTTGAGTCATTTTTTGAAATATTGGAAAATTTCTCTTAATCACCAGACAAAAATTCACTGCATAATTGTTTTATGTAACCCAAATGAGCAACTCAAGCAACAATTTTTAAAATTAATCATTCTAACCTGGTCTTGGTGACACATTCCTTTAATCCAAGCATTTGGGAGGCAGGGATACACAGACCTCTATGAGTTCAAGCCTGCTTGCTCTACAGAATGAATTTGAGAACAGCCGAGGCTACACACAGAGAAATTCTCTCTTGAACCTCTCCCCCCTCCAAAAAAAGAACCTGATCATTTAAAAGCAATACAATTTAAACTTTGTGATCCAACAATCATTTGTGCTACTCTATAAAGAAGCTTTGTTCTAAACATCCTGTAAATATGCTCAAGTGTCCAGCCCAGAGAGATCTAGTCAATCGTCAGACTCACATGTTTTCTTGGTTACCTATTTTTCCAAGTTAAATAAAACATGAAATATTCAAAGGACCTCAGGTCAAGTATAAAATCAACCAAGCTTTGACAGAAACAAACTTTCAGTTAATAGAGGCAGACTAGAATCATATCAGACCCATAACCAACAAAAGAAGTCCACATTCCCAGGTCCCTTCACATGTTACAAAAAAAAATCAAGAAACTATGTCACCTTCAAAATTACTAGTTCCATAGAAATGTTCACCATTGACAATTAACTAGAAGAACTCCAGGACACAGAATTTAAAAATAAAATCATAAACATGATCAATTAATTCACTGACATTAAAGGGACACAAACATGTAAATGAACTTAACTATATTATTTTTTAATAATAGAATTTCATTAGAGGTTTATCCTTGTATCGTAAAAGAAGAGTTAAATATATACTTTTATATGTAAATTTCCTTGATCATCTCTTGCACTTAATATTCTTGTTTGAGATTCTTTAGAATTATTTGAATATTTAAAGGTAAAGAGTACTTGCTTATCACTGAAGCTAAATATTACACAGTAATGAGAATTGATGTTCTAAGTGAAATTATTTCTTTTTTTATGTGTTACTTACTATAGTGGTTTTAAAAACTGATCCCCAAATGGAGTGACACCATTAGGGAAGGCTGCCTTGTTGGAGTAGGTATGGTTTTGTTGGAGAAAGTGTGTCACTGTGGAGGTGAGCTTTGATGTCCCATGTATGTCCAAGCCATGCCCAATAAGACAGTTCACTCCTTCTTGCTTTTGCACCAAGAAGTAAGGACTCTCAACTCTAGCATCATGTCTGTCTCCATGTTGTCTTGTTTCCCTTCATAATGATAATGGACTAATCTTTCGAACTGTAAGTGAGCCACCCAAATTAATTGTTTTAATTTATAAGAATTACAGTCATTTCAGTGTCTCTTTACAATAATAGAAACCCTGACTAAACCAGAAGCTGGTACTAGGGACTTGGGTATTCCTGTGATAGACCAGACCATGTTTTTGGTTTGAAGGTATATGGACTTTGGGGCTGTGAATTAGAAAAGCAGTTGAATGCTTTAAGTCTATACAGTCCATATTGTGTTGGGTAGGTGTAGATTGTTTAATAGATCAGAAGTGAAGAAAGTGAGTAATGGAAAAACTTATTATGTGTCTGATAATCTTTATCTTCTGCTTTAAAAGGTTTCAGTGTTTTTTTTTTCAATTATAGAACAAAGATTTTTTTTTTTGAGACTGGGTTTCTCTGTATATCTCTGGCTGTCCTAGAACTCACTCTGTAGACCAGGCTAGAACAGAGATCTACCTCCCTGAATGCTGGGATTAAAAGCATGAATCAACACCACTTGAGTTAGAACAAAGATTTTTAAGAGTCAGAAGGACTTCCCAAGCTTCTGACTGCTTGGGAAACCATATCTCTCACTCATATCAACATCTCTTTGCCTATGTCATAGGTAATTTTATGGTAAGCTTTGTAATCCCAGTAATTTTTCACATACAGTTTCCCTTTCTTGACATGTCCTTTATTACTTCATCCAAAATAAATGTTTTTATTCTACAGATTTCTGTACATAAATGACTAACTCTTATTGAGCATGGTGGCACATACCTTTTATTCCAGCACTTTGGAGGCAGTGACAGGCAAATTTCTGTGAATTTTAGGCAAACCTATTTGAGATAGGATTTCCAGGCTACCAAGGACATCATAATGAGATACTGTACCAAAATAAAAAGGACTGTCTCTGGGAACCTCGTTCTGAATGTTCCTTTCACATGGCCAATCCATGTATCAATTCCTGTGTTTATAAATGAGAAAATGTAATTTGATCATATTTATCCCTTCTTACCCTTTAATATCTCCTAGATCAACCATTCCATCCCCACCCACAAACTTAGAGTCTTCTTTTTAAAATAATCCTCTTTGGTTGCTCACCTTACTAGACCTGGATGGATGTGGGTGGTCATTGGACTTCCCACAGGGCAGGGAACCCTGATTGCTCTTCGGGCTGATGAGGGAGGGGGACTTGATTGGGGGAGGGGGAGGGAAATGGGAGGAGGTGGCGGGGAGGAGGCAGAAATCTTTAATAAATAAATAAATAAATAAAAAATAATCCTCTGACTCTTAATTCGTGTTGCTCATGTGCTCATGGGTATGGAGTAATCCACTAAAGCATGGTCAACCTACCAGGAGTCACATTCGCAAAAGATGGCATTCTCGTTCCAGAATCCATCTACTGTTTATTTCTCCTATGTTAGATGTAGAATTGGAGCTTGTCCCAGCTCTATGGAAAAATATTGAATACTTGATCTTTTCCAGGCAACCACAGCTACTATGAGTTCATGAGTGTAGCGGTTTTAGAAAATTTGTAAAGCACTATTTTGCTCTGTTCTTATAAACAGAGACTGTGCTTGTTTTTCCTGGTCACCCAGACCAAAATAATCATACAAAAACTATATTAATTATAATACTGTTTGACCAATGGTTTATACATATTCCTATCTAGCTCTTACATCTTAAATTAACCCTTTTCTATTATTTTATATTTTACCATGAGGCTGTGTTTTGTTACTTCACATCTTGCTTCTTGGAAAACTACATAGTATCTGCATAATTCCTCACTCTTTCTCCCTGCATTTACTTTAGTTTTACCACCTGGCTATATTCTGCCCTGCCACATGCTGAAGCAGCTTCTGTTAATACTAATGGTAACAAAACATATTCACAGAATACAGAGGGGCAACCTGCATCGTGTTCCTGCTCTTCCATATATTTATGCAATTTTCCCTCCTCTTCCATGATGACTATTAAAGTAACAGTTATTCTTATATATCATTATGTCTTAAAGGTGTTCCATAATGGTTTGATCTGCTTCTATAACAGAATGGAGACTCCTCGGTAAAGTAGCAGATGAAGAACTTGAGAAGTGGGCCTAACATTCTTCTCTTTGCCAACTGGTAGTCTTCTCTGAGAACCACCTGGTGCCATGGGGAAACGTGATAATCGAGTGGCATATATGAATCCTATAGCAATGGCCAGATGGAGGGGTACAAGTCAATCTGCAGGCCCAACTATACAAGATTATCTGAATCGACCAAGACCCACCTGGGAAGAAGTAAAGAAACAATTAGAGAATAAAAAGAAAGGCTCCAAGACATTGGCTGAATTTGAAGAAAAAATGAATCAAAATTGGAAGAAAGAACTTGAGAAAAGCAGAGAGAAAGTATTAGGTGGAAATGTCAGTTCATCCAAAAGAAAAGAAAAAAAGAAAAAGAAAAAGAAGAAATCTTGTAGGTATACATCCTCTTCATCAAGCTCCGATTCATCAAGCAGTTCTTCAGATTCTGAGTATGAGCCAAAGAAACAAGGGAAAAAGAGAAAGAGAAAGAAGAACCATTCCCACAAATCATCAGAAAGCTCCACTTCTGAATCAGAATCGCCAAGCAAGGAACTTCCCCTAAAGAAGAAAAAGACAAAGGATGAAACTGAAAAAGAAAAATATACCAAAAGCTACAGCAAAAAAAGAAAGAAGGCTTGTCCTGAAGAAGAGCCATCCTCTTCAGAATCTTCATTCGAATCAGATTATGAAGAGGAGATGCAGGCAAAAAAGAAAAGAAAACACGATGAGCAAGAAAGAAAAATGGAAAAGATGAAGAAAAAAAAGAAGAAACATCACAAGAAACACAGTAAGAAGAGGAAGAAGAAGAAGTTTAGTTCAAGTCACAAATCAGTGTAACATAAAGGAAAACCAAATAGGCTTTCCGTATTTAAAATGAAACAAAATCTAAAGAAACTTCAACTGTGAAAATCTAGGTCATATTTACCAAAATGCATGAGATTTCCTGTGTTAATAGAGTTATTCTGGACTTTAAATTGCCAGAGAAATGCCACTGTGCCAGAAAAGGTATTTGTTGCTTGCAGCTTCTATATAGGGTTTTGTTTGTTTAATGTCTCTCTTTATGTCTAATAGTTACTCCTCTGGGAACCAAAACTCAGTTGTCTTACTAGTATTAAAATGTTTGGAGTTCAATTAATATATTTTCAATAATGAATAATTTTAACCAAAAACATATCTAGTGTTAAACATATGTAATTTTTGCCTATCTTTAAAGTACAGAAACATCCTGACAATTAGACATTTTGAAGATAAGACAGCATTGTTGTTCAAAATTTAATTTTGTAGATATGTTTGGTTGATGTTTATTTTTTTCCCAAGAAGTTTTTGTTTACATTGGGGAAGGGCTCATGTCAGGGAGTGGGAGGGGGTTTGTTTGCTACTCTAGCTAGCTGAAAAGTGTGCCTTTAATCCTTACACATCCTATTTTTGCCAGTGCAGCAGCCATTTATTTCTTACACACTGAATGTTGTTGTGTACTGTATCAAGAGAACAAGAAAGCAGTTTACAGAATAAAGTCCCCAAAGCTATGACATTTACCTCCACTTTAGCATTATTCATTCTTTAGTACTAAATGCTATTTCACATTAGAATACTAAATGATTTGAATTAACTTATTTTTTTGAAGGAGGATAATTGCAAACTGTCTTTGGCTTTGTTTCTTTGTTTTTATTAATAAACATTATGATGTTTTACACACTTCATTCTGCCATTGTAATTATCCAGTGATATTCTTTATGACAAGTGGTGATCTTTTTAAATATAATTCATGGTTATGATATAAAGTTCAAACTTTTCATTTCTTAAATTTTGGATATTACTTTTATCTCATTGGTCTGCTTAAATTGCACATGTGCCAAAATATTTAGTATGTAAAAAGAAGGTTTTTAAGAAATTGTAATGCCTTCATATTGAAGCTGGTTTGCTATAAGCAAGTTGAGTGCCAGATTTCTAGTATGCTGTGTGTTGTGTTACATAAACAACTGCCAAAATATTTGTATGTATGTTCATTAAATGTTTCTTATCCTAAGCATTAGTACTGAAGTGTAATAGAAGTTAAATTTATGTAATGATGATATCATTTATTTTTTTGTGTCTATATATTACTAAGGATCTGGTGCCTTGTGACTGTTGTTGAGTCATATTCACAACTAATGTTAAAAATGTGTTAAAATATATTTACTTTACATTCTATATCACAGTAGTGTAAATTATAAGTTTATGTTTTAACAACACTTATTACAGAAGTTACACTAATAATATCATGGTACAAGTATTTTGGCATGATAAGAGAGGCTCAGTATTTTTTTTTATTTCAAATAGGTGACTGAATCTCAGATTCTTTGAATAAAAAGAAACATTGTAGAAAACATCTAGTAAATAAATGATTTGTCACCTCTACAGAATGTTGCAGTGGTAATATTGGACTCTTTCAATTTCTTCTTGAAGTATTGTGTAGTAATGCCATGTTAAATCATCTTGGAGTTTCATAAATACAACTGTCTCTTAAAATATATCTGTATGTATATTGCTTATAAAATTATTGTATTTAATGTGTATTTTGTATCCATGTATAGTTTTTTCAAGAGTATTCAGTAAATGTTTTTAAAGTTAAATTATTTGTAGAATATGGCAAAAACATTTATAGTTTATCCTATAGCTCTGTGCTCACATTCACTTCCCAGGTCTCTGTAGTTAGGACATCCCATCTGACTGCTTACAATATAGGAATTGAGAACAGAAGTGATGTGTTAATTCCATCCTTGAGCAGAAAGAATTCTAACATAATATTTCAGCTCTTTCTTGAACTTCCACCATAACTGAAAGTAAAGGCCAACTTCCAAGAAGGATACAAGCTGAACCTTTATGTCACACTTTAGAAGGATTTTGTCCTAGAAAACTGATGAACTTGCAATGGACTTTTTGAGAGTAATAAATAAATTATGTGTTCAGTTACTTAGATCTTGAGTCCTTTCTATTTGTATCACCACCTAACCTAACTTGAATACTAACAAAACACTCTACAACATCTGTTCACCATTTATAAAAGTAATTCAATTACCTTCACCAGATATTTCTACAGATGGATAATTAATCCAAAAGAGATCATATATGGCATACTGAAAATACATGTTCATTTTATTTGAATTCATTTTAAATTACTGATTCTGAAATAGGTTGATTTAATTCCTATTTCATTTCTCTAATTATAGCCTAAACAAATTTCCATAAATCACTTTAGAAGGAAAATTATTTTAAGATTCTCATTGCTAATTGATGAAGAAGAATACCATTTTTAGGTATTCTTTTGAACACTGCCTGACCCATTAGTTCCAGCCTCTTATTGGCTAACTCTCATGTCTTGATTAACCCATTTCTAATAATCTGTGTAGCACCACGAGGTGGTAACTTACCAGGAAAGATCTTAACCTGCATCTGTCTTGGAGAGGAGAATCATGGCGACTGCCTGACTCGGCTTCTTTCTCCCAGCATTCTGTTCTGTCTACTCCGCCTACCTAATTTTCTGTCCTATTAAAGGGCCAAGGCAGTTTCTTTATTTAACCAATGAAATCAACACACAAAAAAAAAAAGACTCTCCCACATCAAACATGTGCTATTCTTTAAAAAAAAAATGAAGCAAAATAGTGTATGTAGTGATGAGGCGAGCAGGCTTTGTAGTGATGAGGTGAGCAGGCCTGCCTTTTGTCTCACCCAGCTCCCACATGGTTAGCTTTACAGCCAAAATAACAACACACAAATTGTATTCATTTAAACACTGCCTGGCCCATTAGTTTCAGCCTCTTATTGGCTAATTCTCACATGTTGCATTAACCCACATTTGGTAATCTGTGTAGGACCACGAGTTGGTGGCTTGTCGGGAGAGATTCAGCCTGTCTGACCTGGCAGCTGGCTCCTTGGCATCTGACCAACTGTGCTTTCTTTCTCCCAGAATTCTGTTCTGTCTACTCCACCCACCTAATTTTCTGCCCTATCAAAATGCCAAGGCAGTTTCTTTATTAATCAATGAGAATAACATATAGACAGATGACCCACCTACAACAATTGTATAACACAGGAAGGCTTCAATACTCACCATATAGCCCAGGAATAACCTTAAAATATTCATCATCTTGCCTTTAGAATGGAAAATGACAGGCAAGTTCCACCATAACAAGTTTATAACTGAAGAGGACTAGATAGTTCATTTACTTGACTGTTTTGTTGCACTGTTCTAATTCATGTTCTCTTATTGTGGTGAAAGCCATCAGCAAAATAACTTGTGGGAGAAAGGGGTTGTTTTGCTTATACATAAACATCACTGACCATCTCCCATCTAGCAAAGTCAAGACTGGAGCTCAGTGTAGGAACTGAGTCAAAGACCCTTAAAGAAATGTGCTTTCTGACTTGTTCTCATGTCTTGTCCATCCTGCTTTTTTACACAACCCATGACTACCTGCCAGGCATGGCAACACTAACAATGGTCTGGACCCTCCCAAATCAAATGATGAAAGTAGTATTATAATTGAGGTTCCTCCTTCCCAGATTATACCAGCTAGGGTCAAATATACCAAAACAAACTGCTAGCACAGACATATACATCAATTTGTCTCATATCCTTAAATTATAGATGTTAAATCCTTGCAGATTCCAGATGCTAAGATCTTGGCTCTCAGATAATGAGATTTCAGTCCTCGTTCTCTGTTTTCTTGTTATATGACCTCTAGCAAATTGGTTCATTTGTATGTAACTCAATTTTCTCATTAACAAAATCAGAAAAATAATAGTCGCTATGTCAAAGACTCTTAGAAGAATAACATTTAAAGCATTTAATTTAGTCCCCAGTGTAGTAATATGAGCGGCGGGGCTGCGTCCCCAGCACTCCGGCTGCCTGGCTAGCTTATGCCCGAAATAACGACACACAAACTGTATTCATTTAATCACTGCTTGGCCCATTTCTATCTAGCCTCTTCTAGGCTAATTCTCACATATTAATTTAGCCCATTTCTAATCATCTGTGTAGCGCCCCTAGGTGCGCTTACCGGGAAGATTCTAGCCTATGTCCATCCTGGGTCGGAGCTTCATCACGTGCGTCTGCCTGGGAGCTGGGAGCATGGCATCTCTCTGAGGCGTCTGTTCCCGAGAGGAGAGCTGTGGAGTCTGAGCTCACTTCCTCTTCCTCCCAGCATTCTGTTCTGTTTACTCCACCTACCTATGTTCTAACCAATAAAATAGGCCAAGGCAGTTCCTTTATTATACAATGACCTTCCTCCATCACCCCAGCCCACAGCAAACATTTGCTGTTATTTTCTCCTCCTTTTGTTATTATCATAATCCTCTTTATTATTAAGACAAGGTCTCACTCTGTAGCCCTTGCCAGCCTAGAACACATTATGTTTAACAAACTGTCCTTGAACTCACAGAGATTGTCCTGGCTCTGCCTCCCAAGTACTGGGATTAAATTTATGTCTACCATGCACAGCATATCATTGTTGTATTCTATTTTCTTTATCATTATTATTGCACCATCATTTCACATGGAGTGTATTTTTACCCTCTCAAAGCTACATGATTTTTCTTTTCTTTCTTTTTTCTCTCTCTTATAATGATGGTGGTTATTGTTAGGGATTTCCTCATACTAATAAAAGTAGTTGATCAGGTCATAGAAGAAAGAAGGCTCTAAATAAATGCACATGCAGAAAGAGACAGACAGACAAACATGCAGAAACAGAGAGAGAGAGAGATAGAGATAGAGAGAGAGAGAGAGAGAGAGAGAGAGAGAGAGAGAGAAGAAAAGACTAAATCCATGCAATTAAATTAAATTTCATTCCCCTTACATGACATGTATCTACTCCCAATGTTTCTACATGCCCTTGGAAAACTGATGTGCCTTCTGTCTGTGTGGTTTTCCCTAGTCTAAATATTTCATATAAGTAAAATGATAACATAAGTGGCTTCTTAGTCTAGCTTTGTTTAATTAGCATGTTTCTACTGATTTGAAAGTATTTATTTGTGTTTGAAAATTTCAAGTATGTATACAATCTATTTTCATCATATATATCTTAATGCCTCCATACAACTCCTCATGGACCCCTCCTACAACATGGCCCCTGTTGACTCCATTTCTTCATTTTTAAAAATTGCCCACTAAGTCCAGTAAAAACACATTGGTATGGTTCCATCCTTTGGAGCATGGGCAACTTAATAGTGGCCACACACCCAAAGAAAACTGATTCTCCCTCCTTCAGCAGCTTTAAACTGCCAGCAGCTTCCCAGCTAGGAGTAAGACCTGGTAACCATCTCCTCTATCCTATTAGCATAATATTTTAAAGTTCATTTTTAAAAGGTGCTAGGTAACTTTGAGGAAGAAGTTCTATGAGATACCATAAACATCCAAAATGTGTATTATCAATTTTAATAGGTAATATTTTAGAACAGTTTTATACTCACACTAAATTAAGCAGAACATAAAGATGTCTTGTAAATAACTCTATCTTAAATATGTGCATCTCTGCACACTATAAGTATCCTGTATGGTAACAACACATATTATTGAATTTATGATCCTACATTGACTTATTATTATTTAAATACCATAGATTATATTTGGTTAATTACTGTTATTTTACATTCTGTAGGTTTTGAACACACAAATAATCTTTTGTATCTACTACAATTTCATTATATAGTACATTTTCCTTGCCTTAAATTCCTTGTTCCATCTCTTCATCTCTCCTTAAATACTGAAAAACTCTGATTTCCTTTACTATCTTCATAGACTTTCTTTTTTCAGAACATCTTTTATTTATTATGGCATAATTTACTGCTGCTATAACATCATTGTGCAAAGTTTTGTATGACGAAAAGATGTCAGCTACTAAGAGATTAATATAGTATTAAGATTGTGCTATTATGACCAAGATATCTAATATACGGATTAATATAACATAAGGAAGGCAGATTTATTTTGTTTCCCATTCATTCCAAGAACATTTGGCCTTAAGTACTTAAACAAAACCACAGGCAGAGGAGCTTTTGCACTTCATTTCAGACAAAAATCTGAGAGGAAACTGAAGAAAAGGAAGGTATTCTTAAGAACCCACCTCAAGTTTCTTTTTATGTTAGTGTCAAACCAACTCCTAGAGTTTCAAAAATAACCTTAACAACACCACCTAGAGACCAAAAACACAGGCTTTTGTGGTGGACCAATCATACCAAATACCAAGAAGTGTGACTGCTGGATTATCTGCTTTAATTTTTATAATTCTCAACAGATTTATTTAGGCCAGGTAGGTGCAACTTCTTTTTATAATTAAATGTTTTTGTGCAAATTTAAAACTATTCTATTTGATAATCAGTAATACTGTTGTCTATTACTCATTCATTCACCAGGAACAATTTTTATGTCAAGAGAAAAGTAGAATAAGACCTACATGCCACAGCCAATGAAAATATAGGCTTATCATCCCATTGAGGTTTGCTAGAGGTTGAAAATATCTCTTTATGCCCTACAAACATCTGATCATTTCAGTACCTTTAGTTTATAAAGTACATTTGTACTTTTACTTGGAGCTGGTGCAAAGTTCATCCTTTCATGTCATCAAATTAAATTTGGAAGCTTTACAGGTTAGCAAGAGATGTGCAAGAACAGCCTACCAAATGTATAATATGTAGCCTCACAAATCCTGAGAAATAGACCAAGTACTGTAACTATGTTTCATCTTGGTAGTGAAAACTTCAGTACCTTAGCTCTCATTTTGTAGAGAACATTCCCCCTATATTGAAGGATGATGAATACAGAGATTCATTAATGTTGCAAATTATAAATTTCTATATTATGTCTTTTTCTCAATATAACTCATAGTTGTACTAAAATATCTATGGCAATGCTCCTCACTTTATGATCCATGGGCTTTTGTCAGTT